TTCATTTTTCTGGCAAATTATCGATGGGAGTGACGTGAAAAAATATAACGATTTTGTGGTTTGTCATTCTTTAATGGCTCACGAAGTTGCGTAGTGGTGCGATAATTTTCATGCGTTTTTTCTACAGTTTTGTGATTCTTTTTAAAAGTTTAGAGAAAACGCAGGAAAATGTTCGCACCACCTTAAAATTTCGTCAGTCATTAAATAATGACAAAACGCAAAACCGTTATATTTTTTCACGTCAATTCCATCATAAGTTTGCCAGAAAAATTAAAAAAACGTGAATTTTGGCAGAAGAATTTTAAGGGTGTAGAACATCCTTAAGTCCAATAGAAATGCGCTTGATTGCCACAGTTGCAAAGTTGTCTTTTTACCTCCACACATCACACGGTGTAGATATAATTGAAAAGATAAAACAAGAGCCGCAACAAACCTTGATTTCTCCTTGCTTTACGCTCCATAACGGCTCTCTGAATGACAGTCATTATGGCCCTCTTGGGAGAGGCCTCGGCAATGCTGTAAGTTTTTCCATCCCCAACGACCAATAAAGGGGTGCCTACACCCTCCTGATCGATATCCGGCTCCTCGTCGTCCTCATCGTCCTCACCGTTATCGTTCTTGGTTCTGCACGCCAATAAATCAACATCCGTAACGAGCTTGACTGATCTCGCCGATCTGACAGTTGCCCTGGCTATTGTGACCCGCACTTTGAATATCCAATTTCGCTTGATCGTCAGAAAGAACCATAAAACCAGCCAGAGTATCAGATGCACAACTGTACTGAGAATACACGCCAATATCGCACCGTCGAGACTGCCACGGTACACAACAGTATAGTCGTAAAGTAGTGGAGCATTGCAAATTGCTATCGCCAGGAAGACACATAATGCAGCACAATGTGTAAAGTATGTCCATCCAGAGCCATTTCTACGTGTTTCCTTTGACATAATCACACGTCTCTCACGCTCTTGCTCCAAGAAGAATGAAAATCTGTAATGGTATTTATTAGCCTTAATCCCCTTGGGAGTAGGGCAGGGTGGGGCAAAATGGACACTTTAGACTTTTTTAAAATTATTCATAACTCAGAAACAAATTTACCAATTGAGCTCAGTTTAGGCTCATCACAGAGGGAAAGAATTGTTCTTTGTATTGAACATCAACATTTCAACCCCTCATTAACATTAAAAAAAAAGTCAAAAGTGTTTGTTTTACTCCAACCTCCCCTAAAAATTGATGGAGAATGATGAAGAAATTGCAATGGCTCAATCGATGAATAACAATAGCCCAGACTTACCTTCCATAAGCATAGAGATAGGTGACCATGCTCGAGCACAATACCAGCAGCGAAGACAGTGCAAACAGAGCGAGAGTGACATGTGGATTGAGCAGAAAATGGCTATTGTCACCAAATAAATTTGATATAACTCTCTGTGCACCGCTCGATGGTACTGGAGTCGGATGTACTGTTCTATGTCGCATAAGGGGCAGAACTTTCTGCGGTCCAACAACCTGTACTTTGTAGAGAATCGACATGCCGGCGTAAGCCATTAAACTCTGGGCTGAATTGACGACCAGTTGGATCGAGAATATCGTCCCCAGGACTTTATTGCAGGACCAAAAGACGGCGGGGTAACGCACCGAGTAGACACCCAGGGCCATTGCATAATTCAAGTACTCGAGGCTCATTGCGTGTCCCATGGATCGATAATCAACATCTGCTGGAGGAGAAAATAATAGTTTAGGGTTTGGGCTTGAGAAATACAGGAGATCGAGAGATCTATGGTTTTTACAAGTTTTACCTTCGTTACTGTCCACATTGAGGTGTTCCGGATGGTCGAGATCCGCCAGACTTTTCATCTCCAGTGGCAACGTGTATCCAGTCATATTATCCCTGTGTGATTCCATGGTGGTAGTGGTGCTCGGTCTACCTCCTGTTTTTTTCGTTTTCACTCTGGCCTTTCCATTTCCTCCCTTACCCACCAGGATTTTTCCATTATTAGCTCGCTTTGCAACGCTAAATGGACTCGGTGTCGCACTGGGAGATTTAATCAACTTGGTCGGTGAAATCGTTAATGTTGAATCCGTAATTTTCCCTGGCGATACGGTAAAATGAGGTGAATCAGTTGGATTATCATCCTCTTTTTGTCCTGTTACTTCGGACGATGGAAATGTGATTGGAAATTGAGAATTGGATTGTGTCCCAGGGCTATTGGTTATTGGTGGTAGCGTCTCGTGGGCTAGAGACTCCATTCCATTAAAATTCGGTGTACCAGAGCTCCATGACAGATCATCGAATTGATCGTACGGCGCTGAGGTCGTTGTGTGCGATTGAATGTTTGTCAGACTCGTTAAGTTCCCAGGGGGATTCATGAAACTTAGAAAAACCAATCGATCCCGGTGTACCACAACGAAATCGAGATCCGTTCGCCAAATTGCATCTGGAAGAATAAACGAGAGATCCTGGGGTAATCTCTTGTGCCGATTCAGCTGTAAATTTCATTTTAAAAAAACCACACAACTTTTTCTGTTGAGATATTTTGTACGGGAATTCAGAGAGAAACTTGGAAAATTGGCTTTTCTAGGAAATTTTTTTCACACGTGTTCACCGGTGAATGCAGATAATCAAATGGAGGTCGTCAAAGCTTGAACGCCTCAAGGGTAGTATCGGTCAATGACTGTTTTACCTTTTGGCAAAAATCCAGCGTGTATCAGCCTAGCTTCCATGAGCAACGAGGGCAAAAGAAAGCACATGGCCGTGCATAGATGCACGAAGGCCGCTGTTGGACCACCGTGCTTCCATAAATTACTCGCCAAGCCTGGAAAACAAATGCAAATTACTACCATTTAATAACAGACTGTCATTCGCTGGTTCTGTTTATACCAGTTGGGCATAAAATTTGGACGTCTAATTTTGGATTTTTACCAGTTCCATCCGGTCCGTCTGACAGCAGCGAGGACGGTGGATCTCTGGTGCAGGTGCTGCTGTGTCTTCCAAGTTTAACACCATCGTTTGCCAGATTACCGAGCTTTAGAAAGGCAGCAGCAACGAGAATTGGTAGAAGCAGTACACCCGTTCCTGTCAGCACTATACAGGCGTGCAGTTCGACTTTCGGTGGCTGCACCTCCGCCGGCCACGGTAACGATAAATACGCTGTGGAATTGTTTACTCAATCAATTTCATATTAATCTGGCAGTCTCGAGCAAGACAATTATGGCAATTATCGAACTCGGCAAATGGATTTGGAAATGTCCCATGCTAATTGGCTTCTCCCGAAATACAATCGAATCTTCGTGATAAAAATAAGGCATCACAATCACCGAAATGTTGTTTTATTTTAGTTGAACAAATTTTTCCATCCATTCGTTTGCATTGCAGAGCTCCAGAAACAGTTGACGTGAGGCGAAAATAAAAAAAGTTATTGCCACAATCGATTTAACTCTGCAATTCAAATTTATGAAAAATTATTCGAAATCGTGTTGACTCACCAACGAATCTTTTAGCACATCTGGTGGCCACATACGCCTGAAGCGTGACAGCGAGAATTCCATACCAAACCGACCATAATCCATTGGCATGGCCACGATTACAGGATTCCCTTCTTCTATCAGTCTTTTTGTATTTCCTAGATTTACCACCGATGGAATTACTAATAGTGGTTGTTGTGGCGGTTGTTGCTGATGTAACCGGTGCAATATTTCCCGAATTACTAGTTGCCACTGTTGGCAGTGTTTTCAGTGGCTTTTTGCATTTAATTTGATTAGCATCGTTGTTGTTCTCGTAACCCATTAGACTACCGGTCATTGACATGATGACTGGATTTTTTTATTTTAATAAAAAATATTGATAAATCCTTTGTTAAAAGCTTTGAATCGTTGAGCGAGAACGTCGGGTGTCGACACCGACGGTGAGAGCGCAGTCAAGCCGACGTTCCATGTATTATCGTTGAGCAGCCACCGCTTTTTTTTCCCTCTTCTCCCCTTGGGTCGTCGTCTCGTGTTCGTTCAAACTGAAAAACTCTTTTGAGAGTTTTTTTTTTTCCCTTTTTTTATTCTTCCTTTTATCGATGCGATTGGCTCTCACGGTGGAGGCATCTTTTCATCATTCGTGGGACGTCAGTAAACCTTGAATATAAAATATGAATTCAACTCATTACTGGAAGATCAATAAAGAAATTACCAGAGCTCAGAGGAAGAAAGATCAAAGGGAAGCATTACATTTCTTTGCCATTCCTTCGTGCAAAGAAAAACATCATCACGTAAAATCAATAAAAAAAAGATTGAGAATTTTAAATAAATGCCAAAGTTTTTAAGGGTCATAAATACGGTCGCCTGACATTTTACGGAAAGAAAATCATAATCCACTTATGTCGCAACCTACAACACCCACACAAAGCAAGTCACTGTGTCTCTGGGACGCATACAACATAACTTTACGCATGGTTATTCTAGTAGTCTCGTATTACCCCAGGGGAAATAATGGAGGAAAAAAAAAGAGCCTTCCACTCTCCCTAACGCCTTTTCACTCGTTCTCTTTCGACTCCACCCGCCATACACTCTTGACATTACCACGTGAGCCACTTAGGTCTAACGGAGTTTTTCACTGGAAAAAAGGACCCCTTTATTCATTGTTATCCAAATAATCGTGCATTAGTGCCACACACTCAACCCCCCGCCCTTCAATCCTTTACCCAAGTGCTAAAAAACTACCTCAAGTCCTCAATCGTTATGGTTCTTCAACATTCCCATTGGATTTCATGGAATTCGGATGTATGGGGAATAGTCAGATTGGTCGTGAGGACGGAATATAAAGTGGGGAAGGATTCAATATTTCGATTGTTTCCTTATTATTCAGTAGAGAAAATTAATAAAATTTCATTTTTCTCGACAACTCATTTTATTGAGACATTTTCTACAGAAATTCCGCGGCCCAAATTTCAGATTTCGTTCCAAATTCAATGGAATTCCAAATTTTTTAGCACCAGGCAGATGAGAATTCCTTAGCTTACTGGAATTTCCAATCAAAACATCAATATTGAGCATCAAATTACCCCAAATTTTCACTACTTCTATTAATTTTCATAGAATGTTTGAGCTGAAATCTACTGTCCTGGAATTTCAGTGGAATTAGAGTGTGATAGAGATTTCTAAAAATGTACCGCGTATTTAGATAAAAAAAATTCAAAGGTGTGGAAAAATGTGGGATTTGAGATAATAGTAGCCTCCGAGGTAATAGTACTCCGCTTATCCCTGCAGATTGCAGAAAACTCGTGAACAATTCAATCTCCAATAAGAAGGAATTTATCGATAAATAGACCAACAGAAAGGGCGTTGACGCCATCGGAGCAGGCGCGCAAACGTGTCACCACTCGCAGAAATGCATTAATGTAACAATCAACAGTTGCCCGAAACACCTTTCCCCCTCGGTACGCGGGAGAACTTGTCAATAGAGTAAGTGCCAACAAAGAGCCAACAAATTTGTAAAGGTAAAACGTCAGAAACTCTGATCTAAATGACACAATTGTCTCTCGTACACCCACAACAATGAAAAGTTTGCTCCACATAGAGCCTCACGTTTTCCAGCACGAGGCATTGTATGAATGACGCCACACAGAAAGATAGATACGAATGCGCCTGATGAAAACAAGAACAACGGAGACTGGAAAAACCGTGGGGAGAAGAAAGAAGAGAAGAGACACCAGTTCATTCCCCTAATCTGGAAGGAAATCGATGGAAGGTATCGCAAGCGACGAGGAAATAAAGAAGGAAAATGGTCTCGATGGGAGCCGGCAGATATCCTCGAGTGTTTTTCGAGAACGTCTTCAGGGGGAGAGGGAATTTCCTTCTTGCCCCTTGGGGTCTCGCGACCCCTTGGATAGCGCCGGATGCTACGCAACGATCTATGTATCACCGAGGAGATACCGAAGAAAGCCCAGTGCGTGGGTGAGACGGAACACAAAGGGGCGAGACACAAATCGTAGGTTTAACCCCCGTTGTCTCAAGTATTAGTCATCGTGATTCACCCGCTGGCAGTGGACTGCGAATGCGTGATGGAATTCCACTGGGGGTTCACCAAACTCACGCACTTTTTCCGGAAAGGTTTTATGGGCCCGGTTTTATTGGATTCGCCGGACGATATTTTAATTAATCAGGTAGTTCGTGGGACATTTGGTCTCGACGGGACAGCCTCCATTGTTTATGGATGACGAAACGTTGACCCGTAAAAATCAGTGAAACACATTTATTCATTCGCGATATCTCCTGAATTTATGAATCACAATAGATTTAAAAGCGTCATTTGGAGCGACATTATTCTCTCGCTTTTCGGCGAGACCATTTTTAGGTCTTCCCCTTCATCACACGTGGCGTATGAAAATGAAACTGAAAAACGTGTGAGGGAGGAAAAAAAGCAATCAGAGTAGCCGAGTAAATGAATAAATGTCCAATTCCAGTCAATCATAAAATTCATTCGATCCGAACGGAATTATGTCCCGAGTGCTCTACGTGCCTTTGTTTATTTTTCTAAACACGCTTGCCCAGTCAACGTCGATCACTCCAACCCCACTCTATGTACCACATACATAACATATAGATATATATATATATATATATATCGCTCTATTCGATCGATACCCGATGCCGCAAAACCTCACGGGGTGCGACAACAGAGACACGCGACGGCGAGTGACCGAATGGGAACACGAGGGTGAATTCCCCATTCTTGTGGTGATGGGAATTTCTTCTGATTTAATTGACAAAAAAAAATTTTTTTCCTCAAATAAAAAGGCATTGAAATCCGCGAAAGTGATCGATATCAATGACAGAGCATTAATTAGAGGGAGGGGATGAGGAGAATAATTTATGATACGTCATTATTTACCAAACAAAATCCTCTGATAATGAGTGGACAAGGGGGAAACGATTGTTCACCGTGGCGTGATGGAAACCTCTCTGCTTTCGCTTTATTCACCACGGATTCGACTGTTCTCTACGGTCCAATCTCCGGGTTGCTCCTATCTTTGAATCTCAAAACGATTAATAAAGCCCCACTGGCAATACCCAATGCTGACTAATGAAGCAACTATAACCCGCAGGGAATTAACTCAATTCGTACCGATTTAATGCATGTGATTACCGGTTTATCAGTCAACTGATGGGATTATATAAATAAAGGAGAAAAGGACTTTGACTTTTTTTATTTCTACACTTGAATTTCTCCTTTCTTCGCGATTTTGAGTCATTCCCTTTGTGTCTGGGAGAATGAATAAATATGATTTGAGGAGTGGGGCGTTATCTCACCGGATGCATTGACGATCTCAATTTTTTTTCTTTGCTTTATTCTTTCATTTTGTTGTTACGAATGAGTTAATGCGTAAGACGAGGACGGACGCTCGACCATATACGGCTGATTGCGCATTATTAAATGGCTATCAGACGTGGATCGGGTTACAGGCGTTCCAACCAGACGTAGCAAGGTGGTGAACGAACGATCAAGAGCGTGCATCGAATATTTCATCACTTATACTCAAAAATTTTCGACAAGACGAGGATTGATGCGATTGAGAGAATTGATTAACACGCAGTTTTGGGGAGGGTGTGGGCAAAACGGACACTTGAATATCCCTCTTCATTAATTATAATTTTCGGACATTGAATTCGATTTAAGGTGAAACGGAGCCCCTGTGTCTATATGAACTTTTACAATTGTGTCTTCTCCTGCAATTATTATTTTTTATTTATGAAACTACTTCATTGACTCAACAATGCAATGCTCGAGTCCATACAGTAATTTCATAGATAAAAATGACTAATTGTAAGAGAGAATACAATTCTAAAAGTTCGTATATACTCAGGGGTTCCGTCTCCCCTTAAGAAAAAAATTGATGAATTAATTGGATAAATTACACCAGCAAGCCTTCCAATAATCCCAGAAGTTGCCCCTCGCCCCGTAAAATAATTCAATTTACAAACGTCTCTGCAAATATCGGAGAGGAGGAACGGAAATAACATCAATGAATATTCAGCGGAATTTCGGACTTCAAACTCCGGAGAGAAACCTATTATGTTCTATTAATCCTTCCGACATTACGCGAGAGAAGGAAATTCAACTAGAGGAATTATTTATTCATGATATAGGTCTTTATCTGGATCTTTTGAGGGCGGAAATTCCCATGAATAGCTGGAGGCGTTACTACTGTTCTCCCACGACTTCCAGATCTCCGCAAAAAATGAGATGAAAGCTAAAAGCTGGGAGTAAAAAAATGAACTTCTCCCTCGTCCTTAAGGTAATGCGGGCATATCCTGGGGTATAAAACTTTTACAACGCCTGAAATTCAGAACAAAAGTGAAACTGAGAATTTATAGTTTGAGCCGGTGTGTCGTTTTGCTTTGCTTAAAGCCCTCTAATTTTAGAATCGTGCTTCGAACGTGGAAAATAGAAAGGGGGGGATTTGCGAGGCCTTCCTATACTCTTTTCCGTTCACCAGGTTCTCCTATGCGAATGCCGAACTCCGGTTTAACGCCTCCGAAACACGGAATATCCCCTTCGTGACAGACCCCCCTCCCCTCCCAAAAAAAAAGAAAAATGTAAAATAGAGAAGGGGTCGTTATACACTTCTTTCTGAGGCTAGAAGTATAGACGACCCCGAGGGGTTGATTGCTTTCCATTCTCTTGATTGTCACGACGAAACGGAAAAAGACATGTTGAATATAGAAATTGATAGGGAAGTGTAGAAAAATAAATGTGGAAATAGAATGAATGCTCAACTACCGGTGTGTGGGAAACGTTTGTCAGCGGTCGATAACGCGCCACCGGTGGATCGCCCTCTCTGTACGTCGACCTACATTCTCACCCACCCCCTCAGGTACAATTTTTTCCACGAACAATTGTTCATAAATACTCGGTGAAATTAATGACTAAAACCAGAACGAGGAAGCGAGTGGAGTTATTCCGTTTTATTATTCTTTCCGTGAATGCGCGAAGATGATGGGGACAAGTGGGGAAGGCTTGATTATATCCTCAATCCGCAATTATAAACTACACGGAGAGAAATATTCAATAAAAATTACGTATCTTTCCCGTAATTCCGGAGCGAAATGTGGTTTGTAGGAAATTTTACGGAACTGTCACGGAATTTTTCCGGAGCGTTCCGTAATTTTTATCTGAATCTCCCGTAAAAAATTACGTTACTGTTGCTTAAATTTCCTAAGTCGATTCCGTAATCGGCGAGTGAATTATGAGTTCCGTAATTTTTACTGAACATTTCTCTCCGTGTACAGCATTATTAAAAATATGACGGAATTCGCGAGTGGAGTGCAGTTCAAGTGTTGCTGAATTTTATCCCCAAAGTTTTTGAAATAAGTTTGGACACAATGTTACTGAGAATCTTTAGACTGTGGCTTCGTTTTTTGAAAGGAATACGAAGGGAGCCTCGAAAGTGAACTCCGTAGATTGTTACATGGACACTCGTTCGACCAGTCGGCAGGTGCGCGCCGCTGAAATCGTTGCTGATTTTTTTCAGCAACCTGAAACCACTTCTTAAAATTCCACGCAATCATGATTTCATATTGTCTCAGGGACTCACCGCGCTCTTTCTTCTCGAGACGAGAAATTCATTCCCCATAAGTAAAGAGTATCAAAAAACCCGTTAAATAAGCGTAGCACGTTTTTAGAGGAATAAAGGAATTGGAATTCGACAAAACAGTAAAACAAAGTGAGATAATGATTTAACCTCGTGTTGATCCTCTACCTGCCACAAAATACAAATAAATCTTGTGATAAAAATTTAGGGAGTTTCGGAGGTTTTCTGAAGAGAGGATAAACCTCAGCAGAAACCAAAACGATTGGTTAACAAGCCGGGTGAGGAAAGGGTCTCGCACGCGCATACCCAAAGAGCAGGTGTTGTTCGTATAGTCCTGTTACTTCTCCTTCTGCCCCTGGTACCCCTCGGCAAACCCATCTCAACTTGCACCCACGATAGGCTCTCGTAAAGGCGACCAGCAGGTATATATACATCGCAGTAGCCCATAGGTGTAAATCAAAATCATGCACGCACCAGTGAAAAAATGTGAATATGTGCTGGCACTGAAAATTCTCATGCAAATGTTCGAGGAATAGAGGGCCAAAAAAAATATTTTACAACTTCTCGCTGATTATCTTACCTCCCTGATATGCAAAACGATGAAAATATGAATTCTTCATTTAATCTCGCTTCGCCAGTCTGTTTGCGCTCGCTCACCCCCAAATGTTTCCACCAAGCACAAACAGAATAATTCAAAATCCTTCTATTTACATGCGAAATGGAAATGCGGTTGAATCCCCCGCCCCCAGAGAAGACACGTACCGCACACAATTGTCATTTCAATCCCTCTATTGACGAAGGAGCAATAATATCTGAGGATCTTGTTTTATCGGCTCGTTGACCCCAGCACGCGGTGACTCGTACTCGTCCACAGCATCCCGCTCTACTATATTCCGAAAAAAAAAAACACACACACACTGGAGTGGGACAACTCCTACACAGGCGTATGCGCAGGGGGTGGAAAGTTCGTACTGCTCTAAAAGCCGCCTCTCCTTCCTTTACTCTTGGGCCCGATCGATGAAACGCTATTCGCTGCAGGATTCGGCGTAGAAAGCGTTAATCGAGTGCAATCACACACTAGTACATCAAACCGGTCTCCCCTTTTTTCTTACTCCCAATCCCTTCACTGATCCTGCTCAACGCTTTTTGTCACAGTTGATGAAAAAAATTCAGCTAAACTCTCCCCCTCAATAAACTCCCATTGTCTCCCCTATTTTACAATTTATGGAGGACGTTTAAACTCTAGTGTTGTTGCTATTTGGTTTTAAAATTATGTTTAAGTGATGATTGAGGTTTTTTTTGGGAGAAAAAACGAACAGGGTGGGATGTTGCACGGTGGACCGCCACGCTCGCTCTGGCTCCTCGACCATCGCCGGAGTGTGGTCGTGTGGTTGAACATTGGCGCGCAGACGCACTGCGAGCGTGATTCCAAACATCGGAGTGGCAAGTATAGACCTTCAAAAATTAATGAATTATTTTCACCCTCGACCCTCCGACATCGTAACTCCGTTAGCATCTTGTGAGACACTGCCTAATCCCTCTTTTATGAAGCTAAAATCTCGCGAGGAAATTTCACATTTTCAATGTTTCATCAAAAATGTAAATGAGGAAATGTAATTTTTTTTTATTTGAAATCGTGTAGAGAAGAGAGAACTCTATTAGCAAAATTCCTCTGTCTCTCTCCCTCTGATTTTTTTACATTTCTCCTGTTTCTGTAATTGCCGTGCTTTCTTTACTTTGCACAAAATAATGTACAGTTAAGGTAGCTCTACCCTTACGGTAAATTCAAAGATTATTGAAAACTGCAAAAAAATTGCAGAAAACTCGATTAGATTCTAATTTTTTTCTCAATTTAATTATCGTTTTGGTTTTTCAGCGAAGAAATGTTTAAAAATCAGGATTTAACCCAGTCTTATGTGAAAATCAACATTTCCATTGCAATCAAAGATTAAAATCTGATTTTTTTTTCATTAGATGTGAAAAAATCAAGAATTTTGTTGAAACCTCATAAAAAATAATCCACCGTTTCGCAAACAAGTTTTATTATTTATTTATAAGCGGGAAATGTTTGAAAAAATACCAATATTTTGCGAAATTTAATTTAGATAATGCTGACTGGGTATGAATATTTACAAATTTTTTTCATGCAATTTACTTAAAAAATTTAAAAACTAAAAATATCCAAAAGTACAGCGTAGCCCGGCCGAAGGGTAGAGCTACTTTAATCAACTTCAATCAATCAATCTGATGAAACGTCATTTTTTTTTTAATTCGTTGAGGTAATTTTGTCTCCTCTATGAGGATTCATAACACGAAAACGTGTAGAGAAGAGAGAACTCTATTTAACAAAATCCCTCCGTCTCTCTCTCCCCTGGTTCTCTCGCTCTAATGCAATTATTTCCCGAAGAGAGACGGAACATTTCAGGGTGTAATGTTCGCTCACTTCCGGCTCGCCCCCTCTCTCCTTCCTCCCAGCACATTTCGTATATCTCCCATTCCGTTCCGTTTCACCATGGAGCATCAACCCGCCCCCAACCCCCCCCCCCCCCTTTATC